AACATGACTGATTTCTTGTATACAAAAATTGCTGATGATTATTTTGTTGGACTGCTAAATTATAGTTCAGAATTATGCAGGTGAGCCTTAGGCTTTTTTCCTCTGATGTGACTTTTTTCCATCTTCTTTCCTCTGATGTGACTACGAGGAGAACATTGGAAGTTTTTATATTAGATTAAGTATAGTATGCTGTCTCAGTCTTAACTGTGATTAATATTCATTAAGTCACTTTCAAACCATAGGTTTATTTGCCACTTTGTAAAATAGCATCCATAAACAGAATGCTATTAGTAAGTATTAAGGATGCTATTAAGGATTAATTTTAAACCAAGGATTGCTTATATTAATATTTTGTTCAAACCTTTGAACAATCCTATTCTAAGGGCCTCCAACCTTACGCCTTGCAGTTTTAAAACTCCAACTAGTATGCATGGGCAGTGTTTAGGGACAAAGGAATTTTAAGACGTTTTCAGATACTTAGTTCTGAAAGATTGACTCATTGTTTTTTAAATAATTGAAGAATGCTGTAGTCTTACACTTTACTGTATATATTTTATATTGAATAATGGTTGAGAGTTTTGATTCATTTATAACATTTCTAGCCTACATTAATGTTAAAAACAAGTGGTGTGGTGGCCTCGTGTTGAAGATGTTCGCCTTGAAAGGTTGAGAGTTCAATTCTAGGTAGCAGCAGATTTTCTCCTAGGGCACAAACTTCGTGTTGCAAACTTCACGTAGGCATAAGGAAAGCCATCCAGTCAATAAATGCTCAGCTCCATCCAGTCATCCACTTCTGTCCTGAATTAAGGAACTACAGGGCCGTAAAAAGGGAGTTATTACTGTTAAAAGTAATCCCCAAATGATTATTCCATGTCCCCCAAATTTTGAGCAGTTAATTTCAGAAGCAGAAGAAAAAATTGTCTTTTCGTCCCCTTTCTGTAATGTCGCATGTAGATTTTTTTTTTTTTAACTATGTGAAAATGGTTCGATAAATTGTGTTTTTGGTGGGGCAGAACTAAAATCAATCTACTTTTAATAAGTAAAAGTGCCATATAAGACCCATGGTGATGCAGTGAATAGAATGCATTATTGCAGGCTAAATCTTCTGACTGCCAGGGGTTCGATCCTCACCAGCTCAAGACTCGTACAGTCTCCCATCCTTTCATGGTTATAAAGTGAGGATCCAAATTGTTGGGGGCAATATGCTAACTTTGTAAATCTCTTAGGACGGTAAAGCACTATAAAGTGGTATATAAGTCTTAAGCGCTGTTGTTATATATGTTGTTAATGTCTCATTGTCATAGGGCCGTGATGGCGAACCTATGGCACGCATGGCACAGGTGGCACGCAGAGCCCTCTCTGTGGACACATGTGGCATTGCCCCAACTCAGCTCCACCGTGCATGCACCTGCGCCTCCCACCAACCAGCTGGCCTTCAGGTCTCTGCCACGCATGTGTGGGGGCGGGAACACATGCACAGGTGGGGCACATGCAGGATGTGCGTGCGCATGCATGGAGGGCCATATGCACATGCGTGGGGGGCATGCATGTATGGGGGGGCACCTTGCATTTTGGGTATGTGTGCACTTTGAGCACTCAGGGCCCAAAAGGTTTTCCATCACTGTCATAGGGTCTTACTCACTGAATGTATGAGAAGCTTTAAATTGTATTTTTACTTCATTTCTGTGTTTATTCCATAATATTTAAACTGTCTGAAAGCTTTATGCTTGTAGTATTTAATATATCTTAGTTACTGAAAGTTAATGTGTAACATCTGAAATGACAAAAAAAAAATTGGTTTTTAGTTAAAATCTTAGTGGAATTGGGAATATAACTTTTAAGTGAATTGTGATAATTCATTAAAATAACAAGTTAAAACTAAAATTATATGGATTGCTGATGTTTAGATTGCTTTTAGTTTATATTAGTATAAAAATCCTTGTATATAATATGTGTGAAATTATGGAGAAAAATTCTAGCAATATGCTGACTCTGTAGTCCTTAGGTTATCACAGCAATCGGGGACAGGCTTAATTGTCACTAAGTGAGGCAGTCATAAAGCATGACTTCACATGATTGCATTACTTAGCGACAACAATCCCAGCAATACTGGTTACCATTTTTAAATCCAATATTCAAGGATGTGGGTGGGTGGGAAGTGGAGTATTGCAGTGCAGCAAATGTAGAAAATTTTGAGGTGTGGAACATATGAGAAAGGCTTAGAAGTGGATGACACAACACTAGTGCAGGAAAGCCAGAAGGACTTATCAGAGTGACTTGCAACCTTCCCTGCCAGCTTCTCTGTTGATTTTGCTTCTGAGAAGTCATAGGGAGATCTCAAATGACAATCATGTGATCGTGAGATGCTGCAACTGTCGGGTGAGCTGGTTGTCAGTGTTGGAAATGACTCCAGATAACAAGGCATTGGTGGTGCTGCAGGGACAGGGTTTCGGTTATAAGGAGGGGGTAAATACCTCCTACTTCCCGTGTCTTCCTCCTCCTGATTTACCATAAATAATTTGGCTCTTCTTGGGGCCATTTGTCTGGGTTCCAAATCAGTATAATCTATTTCATTTTCTAGTGTCTTACACTCTTTATCCTTTACATATTCATACAAATTATTACAAACAAAATAATCATTTGTTCCTAATAGAGGCCAACTTAAATTTTCATCCTCCCACCAAACAAAACAACACAAATTTACCATATCTTCTTTATTTATACCCAATTTAGTAATTAATTTTCTATAGGGTGGTTTCCCCATCCTTCAAGCAATTGCCCTAGGGGACTTGAAGGATCAATTTTTAATTTTGGATTTTTCTGAATCATCTTCACACATTTCCCTTGGGACCCATACTCATGGTTGGTTACCAGACTGGAGCAATCCTTACCAACTTGTTCCAGTGAGACCTTCGTACACACACAAGTTGGCATCTGGCCAGAGCAAAAGACACCCTTACTGCCACTAAAGGTCTGTTTCTGCCCTGAAGAGCCTGAATTTCCCAGCAAGTGCTAGCTTTTTAAAATTCCAAACTCTTCTCTTTCGACCTGAATCTCCCAGCAAATGCTAACTTTTTAAAGATCAAGACCTATAGAGAGACCTTTATTCGATCTTCAATACAACCCAAGGACTGCTAGGGTCTTCTCATCCATACACCTCTCACACAAGTCTCAGGTTCTCACAGTCCTACCCACCCCCAAATTGCCTAGTGAGTGTGTTCTTACTTGACCAGAACTACTTAACCCTAGGTCTGCGCGCAGAGTTGCCCAGTGGTTTCTGGCAATCCCATAAACCTGGTCCCCTTTCTGTTTTCAACCAACCTCTATTTTAAACATGGATCTGTGTCTCGTTCCATGCTCCTGAACAGCAGAGCTGACTGTGGACCATTGAAATCAGCGGGGCATGCCTTCCTCAGCCGACTCTGCCATCCAGGGTATCAGAAGAGAGCAGTTGCCCGCATTCTCCACCAATAGTTGGAAATGACTCCAGATAACAAGAACTTGGATTGGTGAAAACAGAGATTTTATTTGTAAGCTTAAATTAAAGCATGCAAAAGGAAAAAGCTGTTTGCAAAGAGCAGTAGGATCTTACCTGACCTCAACATGAAGTTTTAGCCAAGAACCACACCTGGTGATTTCAGAACATTACATTTTATAGTTTTTCTATCCCGACGCCCCCCATGCCCCTCCTACATCAACCCAGTGACTGAACACAGCTAATCCGAAACGCCTTATGGAGACAACATCATCTCCTTCAACACCTCCCAATGACCACCCATCACATATTTTGCCAACATGGCTTTTTCTTATCTTACATGGCATTAAGGAATGTCCATTCAGCAGGGCCTCTTTCTAACAGTCTGAGAACAAAGAAATATCTATTTTCTAACACCACACTGTTACATTCAGCACATCTCTCCAGTCATCTTAGAACAACATAATGATTATATGCATCTTTAACATATTTACCTATGCAAAGTAAAAGTCTCTGGTTATAACTTAAGCAGATGCTTTGAAAAACAAATCTAGCTTCAACTGATCAAGAAAGTTATGGTAATGTTTATCTTTTATTATCTTCTATTGTCCTCCTAATTGATCACTTTGATCTTTTGTTACGAACCAATTCCTGGAGGTTGATCGTAGGAACATGTTTAACAATGAGTAAATGCATTAGAAAATACATTTTCAGCAGGATTACATCAAGATAGCAAATGTCTATAGAACAACTGTCTTCTTAACTATTCTCTTCATCTACATTTTATTTATTCTTATTTCTAATACCATGTAGCAAAATTGCAAGTTGTGGTGCTGCAACAGCCAGAATTTTGTGGCCTGATTGTTAGTAATACTAAATTCCATAATTCTTATAAAAGAATTTTCTTATAAAAAAGAAAAAAAGCTTTTCACAATTACTTTAGTATGTCTGCTGCCTATGTTATTAGTTGAAGTATGATCAAGATGAGTTTGAAACATAACATCCAAGCAAGATTTTTGTCTAAAAGAATGTATTCCCATTTAAAAATAATAATTTTGAGAGTCAGACTATGGTATGAAAACATGCATAATAGGCATTAAAACTGGATGGAATAATAATACATTAGAAGAAGGAAACTAGGGATTGAGGTCCATTTAAAAATATTTTTAAATTAAAAATATTTTGTAAATATTATTGAATGTCACATGATGTCACTCTGAATTTTATTGTACATGTAAGTAATGCTTTGCCAAACTTTCCCTGGTTTAGTATGTTTTAATAACTTTGAGGAATAGCTTGTGTTTCCCCATAGGGAGACCATGAATTTTCAAATTAATAATATGGAGAAGAATCTTGCATAATTCAGTGTGATATACAGATGTATGAAAGTCTTCTTCCTGAGACCTTGGACAGCTGCTTTTATTCATAGTAATAACTAATACTGGCATGACTTGTTAACGGCAGGATCATAGCCTGTTAAAGGATTCTCTTGATGTCATCTGACTAATTATTCTTTATGTTAAAGGGTTTGCTGCTGGCCTCTTCCCCCCACCCTACAGGATGGTATGAAATTTGAAAGAAGACGATGCATACAGGTAACTTTAAATTTCAAAAATCTGTAAAAATGTTTTGGGATTATTTACAGTATACTTTGCTTTTTAATTAATTTTAGCTCATAAATAGCTAATTTTCTGTGATAATTGTTATCCTTTGAATAGTTTTATGTACTTACGAAATCAGTTGGAAGCAGACATTGAATTCAGTATATTGCTCAATATAGAAATTTAAGTTAAAACATTTTTATCAGTGTTTGTGCAGATATCCAGGAAAGGAGAATTCATTACCTTTCTTGGTAATTTAGTTCTATTGTCAAATTGTTATTACTATGAGCATTTATTTAAAAAATCCATTCATCTCCAATCTGGCTACTTGTAATTTAAAACCATTATTCTCTGTCATACCCTCTAGGAGGTAAAACAAGTATTGATCTTTTCCTATGTGAGGTCAAACGCATATCTAATTTCTTCAGTTTCTCCATGTAAGATTTAAATTTCAGTTCCTTGATCGTACTTGTTGCCAGGCTTTAAAGTTTGTCTGGTTTGTTTGAACCTTTTAAAAATCTAATGATCAGAATATAACATATTTAGTGGAACTTCTTGTTTTTAACATGAAGTTGATGTGCCACATATTAGTTATCACGGAACATAGCAATGTCACATCCATGACACTTTCAAAGATATCTGGTTATGTGAGACTCCAAAATTAAATAGAAGATAATTATTAAAAATAGTGATTGAAATCATACAAGAAGAGATTTCATGAAAGTTTTTTGAAATATGAGCTATTTAAAAAAATAATGGTCTGAATTTATTCATGTCCCAGATCAAAGGTATAGAGATAAACTATTCCATTCTGGACTGTAAGCATAATATACCAGTTCTGAAAGCCCCAACTCTCTACAAATGCAGATTTAGTTCATGGGATGTGGTCTATTATCTTTTAATAGTTACATAAGCATTTAATAAGTAATATTCCATTTGTTGGCTGCAGGCTGCAGTAATTCTTTCTCTTTACTTAACAACACTAGTATATATTCTATTGTATATGTTTGTAGATTAACTAAAAGCTTTTTAAAAATACTTATCTCCAAGATATTTAAAGTAACTAAAGTGGTATGTCATTGATAAAAATATATTAAAATGGCAACTCTGACATTTTGAAAATAAGAAACATGTATTTAGTAATAAATCTGCTTGTGAATTATATACTGTTTTTAGCTATGGCTATATAAAAGTTCTGACAAATAGTGCTTGCTTTTATTCTTGCTCTGTTAATAAATATCCCCCCCCCCCCATCACACCAAAGCATTACAAAGTAGTTAACAATTCTGCAGCCTGGCATATTTTCTATTAAAATTAATTTTAAATATCTCAATAAAGATTGAAAATCATGACTGTGATAAACTAGAGATCTTGGTTAGTGTAATGCATGACTTTAATTTAAGAAAGGAATCATAAGAGTTACATGTTAAATTACATGTATGTTAGTTGTAATTCAGCTTCATTTTTTAAATTTGCTATTAACTTTTGCAACATGATTAATATTTAAAATACGTTCTGCAGTATCATGTTTTTATGGTCAAAATTCCTTAATGTAAAACAGTGGAAAATGAGAAAAATGAAATGCACTATATTTGTAGTATTTTTGTTTTTCATTTTGTTCTTTTTCCACAAATAACTAGAAAAAATAAAGGATAGAAAGAGATGCTAATGTTGCTAATACAACCTCAACATTAGATCATAATACATGTGGCATCTTCTAATTTCATAATTTCACTGTGCCTCATATTTCTCCCTTATATGAGAGAGCTGTAGGGAAACAAGAAGTGCTGTCTGCATTCCCTGACTGGGAACCATGTCTGCAGGTCCTGGTTGAGGCTCTTCATTAGGACCTCACTTCTTCAGGAGGAATAGAATATGGATAAAGTATGCAGGAGCAGTCTAATGTGATACCTTTTTGTGGGATGTAACAGACAACTCCTGTTTCACCTGTGAATTCTCTCTATGTGGAATGAAAATGACAAATATGTCCCACTATTTTCCTTGGAAGAGAAAAGATGGGCATAGGCAAAGGATTGGTAAAATAAGCTAAGATGGGAATATGGATATGGGTAGGTAAATAATTGGGAGGGATATCATTCAGAACATTGCAAACTAGATGGTTTGGCCTTATAGGCTGGGGGTTTTCCATTGTTGGTTGGTTATTCTTCTGGGTTATTCAATTTATTCTGTGTTATAAAAATTATTCATATAATTTTTGTACCAATATTCATTCTGTGAAGATTCTGTAAAATTAAACTTCTGGCTTCAAATACATGCTAATTGATAGTATAAAATAGTATTGGGTGAAGTGGGGCTTTCAATCATACATGTATGAACAAGATTATTGTAAGCTATCCTTGGAGAAAGGTTTAAGATTTTATTTATTTGCTGCTCATCTCACAGTTCAGATGATTCTTGAGTGGAGATAATAAGCCATTAAATGTGTAAAAGAAAAGTAGACTTACTTTGAATTGCTATATTTTTTTTTAAATTAAACCAATGTCAAAAAATAAAACAGAAGAATTAAAACAATGCAAAAGGAAATGAGGAAGATATATGTCTAATTATGCATACATTTATATATGATGTTAAGGATTTAAATGTATTCTGCATAGCTCTTTCTTCTTGGGTCAATTTTTTGATCAAAACAGTTTCCTCTACTTTAAAATTCTTTGATCCAGTCTTCAGTTTTCTAATAGTTGAAATAACAAACTGGGCATCTGATAATAATTGAATCAATTGCTTATGTTTTATCAGTGTTATGATTTAGAAACATGGATGATACACAAAAAAACAATACAGTGCCTAAAATGTTGTAAGTGATTTATAGAGTAACTTCAAAAATTCTTAACCAAAATAGAAGTAATAACTTGGGTATTGCCATCAACTCAATCAACACTAACTAGTAAATGTATTAGTAATATATAGTGTATTTTTGCCTGAATGTAGCATCACCTGGGGATTATCTTTATTGGCGAGTTTTTGATAGTGAGATAAATTAAATGACATTCTGTGCTACAGAATGGTTCCATGAGAATTCATCAAGTTCATATTCATAATTCTCCATTGAGTCGACGGGAGAATCAAGGTTGGATAGTGTCTAGCCTTGTTTCTCTACAGGCCAAGTTGAATTCTCAGAACATGCCCCCTGGTAACGATCCCCAGTTCTTCACTTGGTCTCAGCTCATTGAGACAACCCAAAAAGGGTTATGAATTATTTAGTTTTTGGAAGAATCATTCTACTCCCTGGATTTTCCTAGAGAGTTAAACTGTCGAGGGAGGTTTGACAGCTGTCCAACTTTATCGGCTCAGCCGCTTTGGTTTTTTTCCCCACACCTTTTATTTTTACAGTTATTTTATTTTTTTCCTTTTAAATTGTTTACTAGTGCTAGTGGTTTTAAGGGAATTGAGGACCTAGAGCGCCCCTGAGAGTCCCTGTGGTCTGGGCTGGGGTTGGAGTCTTTGTCTGGTACTTCAGTCTGACTCTGAGGTTTGTTTGACAGCCACGGCAGCCGTGAAACGCTTAGGACTGCCATTTTGACAGTGGCTATCCTTTTTGGCAAGTCCTGTTGTCATCCAGGCTTGCCTTTTTGGGGGAGTTTGATCTGGATTTCATATCCAGATCAGTTTAACAGTTCCCCAGAGCACCGCGGCAGCTACGAGTCACTTAAGTCTGCCTATTAAACTGCGGTGCAGCCAGTTCTAAGGTTGCAAGTTCCTGATCCATCAGGGCTTGCTGCAGTGACAAGTCTGTTTTACTTTCTGGGGCTTTTGTACTGCCTTGCTTAGAGGAGCTGCACTGAGCTAATTGCCAGCTTCTTTGGCCGCATTTGCCGCCTGGAGCTGTTGAAAGCTGCTTCTGCCATCGCAGCTAGCCTAAGGCTCTATTTTTTCCTTTTATTCAGAGAGCATTTTATTTTTATTTCTTTTCTTTCTCTGACAGTTGATTTTGGCATGCACAAAATGGCTGCCAGGGAATCTAATCAGCACTCAGCAGCCTACAGATAGAGCTGTCAAAGGCTCAGCCAAGCCCAGGTCAGCTGGTCTGGAGGTTGCAGCCAGACTTAGGGCCTGAGACCTGGCTCCAAGAAGACCTTCCAGGTCAGAGGAGAAGCAGGCCACATGAAGGCAGAGAGCCTTGGATAAAGAATTTAACAAGGTTCTGAAGAGCTCCAAGATGGCTGACAGCAGCCCTAATTTGTGCTAAATCCCTCAGGAAGCACTACAACAGGAGCAGTTTGCTGATAATAGCCAGCATCTAAGGGCCTGGTCACCAAGTGGTTCTAATGAACAAAATTTACAGGAAGACCCGCATATTACTTCAGAAGCTGGGGTTTAAATTTCTGACCATTCAGAGAGGCTTGTGGCAGCTGGACTGTGAAGGAAATCTTCTAGTAGGGTTAAGAACTGAACCAGAGGCAACTTTCACTCACACTGCAGCAGGGCTAAGCCCAGAGGAGCCTCAGAGTCAGGAGATGCATGCCTTTATGAGAGCCTGGATTTCACAAGTCATCAGAATTAAACCACCAGTGTTAGTATTCAACATGAGATGACTTGAGGACCATACCTCAAGGGCATTGGCAACTCTCGAGGGAGCTGATGGTCTACCAAAGATCTTATTCGCCAGTACCTTCTGTGTGGAGGCAGTCTTCTGTGTCGGAGATAGAACTTATAGGGGAAAGGGACTTTTCGGAAAATGAGGTGGATTCATCGGGCACCCCCACTTTCAAGCCAGCCTGTTTAAGCCTCTGCTTATTAAAGTAAAGAACACGACCCACCTGAAGAAGGACAGAGTCACCCGGGACCCCCCTCCAGAGGGAGAAGACCAAGAGGATTATATTTTTACAGAAAAGACATTGGAGGTGGATGCTGTTCTGGTGCCCCAGATGTTCATGGACATAATCAAACAGCAGTAGGTTTCACTACGGGTATATACCTGTCCCAGTGGATCGGAAACAACACTAATGTGGATCAAGAGCTGTTGGATGTTATTG